CGAAAGGACATGAAATGCAAATGTCTTGGCCTTGCGTCCCTCTTACGGACAATTGCCAGGCAGCACTCTAGGTTGTTGTTCCTTGCCGATGGGGACGCAAACACGAGGTTCTTCCACCTTCAGGCTTGCCACCGCAGTCGAAAGCATCACATCGCCTCGCTCACGGTCCAGGGACATGAACTTGTCATCAGAGAGCAGTTGGCGGAAGCACTGTTTCAACACTACAACGGACTGCTCGGCACTCCATTCCAACGACCGGCCTCTGTGAACTTTGACGGACTGGGGTTGGACCAGCATGATCTATCCATGCTGGATGTATGCTTCTCAGAGTTTGAGATCTGGGCGACCATCAAGGAGTTGCCGTCGGACAAAGCTCCGGGGCCGGATGGCTTCACTGGGCTGTTCTACAAAGTTGCCTGGCCAATCATCAAGCAGGACGTCCTCAACGCTTTCAACGCGTTCTGGTCGCTGGACGGCCGCAGCTTCCATTTAATCAATGACGCCTTCATGGTCCTAATTAAAAAGAAGAATGCAGCCCAACAGATCGGCGACTACCGCCCGATCAGCCTAATGCACAGCTTTGGGAAGCTTATTGCCAAGTGCCTTGCCCGTCGGCTAGCTCTTGTGCTGAATGATCTAGTGCACCCATGCTAGAGCGCCTTCATCCAGGGACGCTCCATACATGATTCCTTCAGAGGAGTTCAGCTGACCTGCAAGACTTTGCACCAGAAGAAACAAAGCTGCATTCTTCTGAAGATTGATATTGCGAAAGCCTTCGATTCACTCTGCTGGCCTTTTCTTTTGGAGGTCCTTCAGCGGCTCGGGTTCAGTCAGCGATGGAGGAACTGGATGTCCATCATCCTTGCATCAGCAAGCACCAGAGTCCTACTCAACGGCAAACCGGGCAACCGCATCTGCCATGCCAGAGGCTTGCGGCAAGGCGACCCACTGTCACCGATGTTGTTCGTCCTAGCTATGGAGGTGCTTGGTGGACTCATCAGGTGGGCTGAGTCCCAGTCCTTCCTCTCACCTATCCGGTGCGCCGCGGTGCGCACAAGGGTGTCGTTATACGCGGACGACGTCGTCGTGTTCATTAAGCCAAGATTGAATGACATCGTCGCCATCAAAACCATCCTGCAGATCTTCGGCGACGCGTCGGGTTTGTACACTAACTTGGGCAAGAGCGTCGCCAACCCGATTGCATGTTCAACGGAGGAGTTGCAGCTAGTGGCAAGCTTGCTGTCCTGCACAATCGGAGCCTTTCCGTGCAATTACTTGGGAATCCCCATCTCGACTCGCTGCCTGCGCCGGACTGAGGAACAATTCCTCATCGATACCGTCGCGGCGCGTATTCCGCTTTGGAAGGGCCAGCTCATGAATACGGCAGGCAGGGTTGCGTTGACGCAGGCGACGCTCTCCGCCATCCCAGTGCACCTCTCCATTGCCGTATGTCTGTCGCCATGGGCGGTCGACCGCATTGATAAGCTGCGTCGATCGTTCATATGGTCTGGGTCGGCCTCGGTGGCCGTGGGCAAATGTTGCGTGGCCTGGGACGTGGTCTGTAGGCCAAAGGAGCTTGGGGGCCTCGGCGTCATCAACCTGCGCAGGTTTGGTCTGGCACTTAGACTGCGCTGGGAGTGGCTGCGGAAGGTCGACCCAAACAGAACTTGGATCGATCTGCCGACAACAACCGACAGGACCACGAGTGCCCTCTTCCGTGCAGCAACAATGGTGGCAGTCGGGGACGGGACCTCAACGCTGTTTTGGCATGACTCATGGATCCATGGATGCTGTGTACAGCAAATTGCGCCAGCTGTGTTTGCCTCTGTCCCACGGGCGAAGGCGAGGTCACGGACTGTGGCGTCGGGATTGGCTGGCCACGCATGGGTGTCTGACATCACCGGTGCGCAAACTGTGCAGGTATTCCTCCAGTATCTGGACCTCTGGGAGCGGGTGCGCGGGGTACAGCTGGTCGAGGGGGTTACGGACTCCGTCATCTGGCGTTGGTCCGCTGATCACAAATACTCCGCGGCGTCGGCGTATGGTGCGATGTTCAGCGGATCGACCACGCCTTTGGGGGCCAAGCTGATATGGGGGACGCGGGCACCGCCGAAGGTCAGGTTCTTCTTCTGGTTGGCTATGCATCGTCGTTGCTGGACAGCAAATCGCCGGATGCGGCATGGCCTGCAGGACAGTGACGATTGCATCATGTGTCTTCAAGCATCTGAAACTCTGGATCATATCCTGCTGGGCTGTAGCCTCAGCCGCCAGGTCTGGATAATCCTCCTGTCCAGGCTTGGGCTCACAGCCGTCGCTGCCCACGGGGACGTCGACACCTTTCGCTGGTGGGCCTGGGCCAGGCGTAGGGTGCATCGAAGCAGCAGGAAGGGCTTCGATTCGTTAATCATGCTAACCTGCTGGGTGCTTTGGAAGGAACGCAACGCACGGACGTTCAAGAATGAGGCCAAGGACGCCCGAGAGCTGTGTTTGGAGATCCGACAGGAGGCTGACTTGTGGTTGAGGGCCGGGTATTCGACCCTGTCGTCGCTCACTTCGTTCATGTAATTGGTCACTTGTGACGTTGGTTTTTTCTTTTACCGCTCTGTTTTCTGTTTTTTTCTATTCGACAGGGCAACCTTTGGTTACCTCACGTCGACGTTGCCGTTGTTTGTTTGGATGTTCTCTACTTCCTCTTAATGAAAGACGTGCTACAGTGCACGTTCGAGAAAAAAAATTGGCAGTGGTTGTCAAAAAAATGTTTCCGTGCAAGTAAGGTTGTAGCATGCCACTCGGTGATCAGATTGCTGTCAGCCCGTTAGATCCGACAGAGATTTGGGTAAGAAAAATTCAGGATAGTCCTAGCGACCAAGAATGTCAGTTTTGACTTGGCAAGAGTGAAGGCATTACTCTTCCTTGGCTACACTACTCGTTTTCCTCCGGTGCGGTAAATCGAAATATGGGAGAAAGCTTCGGTTTGTCGAGTGCTCGTAGACTAGCACCAAATTAACGTTAGCGTGTCTACCTAACAACCGTGTGTTCTAGCACCCGGCTCCACCCAAATTTTTCCCACATGGTTCCTGTTCATCTTCCTTCTTGGCACAAATCACAGATTACAAGTAACAAATCACAGATCATAAATAACAATTTTTTCTATAAAAGGACAGAGACAAAATTTGGGGTGGTGCCGGAGTTGAGGAAGAAAAAGCTCGCCAGAGTTGGTTTCTGATGCCGGGCGCAGCAGCGGCATGGTAGCGTCGGCGGCGCGGGCCGGGGACAGGCGGGTGCGGGCGTGGCGGCGCGGGCGCGGGCGCTGGTGCTGGCGCCGGCAGCTGCGCGTAAGCCGGTGGACAGGCGGTTCCGCTGAAAAAAAATATTCGTGTGTGCCTGGGAGCTAAAACACACGGGTGTTGGATAGCATTTCCGTAAGGTAAATATAAGGAGCTTCACACACAACGCACTGGTACATACAAGCAACCGCGCGCATTGCAACCAGGTCATCCAAATCCTTCAATTAACATGTAAACCACCACGGCACCACCCAAGTGATAAAGCCATTTGCTCTTCTGCCCTGGCATGGTTGTACAAACGGGTTATGTACATATAGCACACAAAACACTACTCTCTTTTTCCAAAACAGAGTGTACTTCTAGATATAGTCCAAATCAAACAATTTTGAGATTGACTAAAATTATAAAAGAATACCGATAATTTAGCTATGAAAATTATTTTATGGTAAATCAAATGGTGCTTATTTGATGCCACAAATATTTGTATATTTTTATAGAAGATTGGTTAAATTGAAGTTGATTTACACTGTAGCTTAATGTGCACTCTTTTTGGAACAGAGTAAGTATTTACTTAAATTTTCTTTATTGGAGCTCTTGAAAAGTTGAAATCAAGGAGCTGATTCAGAGCTTCTGGAGATGATATCTCAGCACTACTAGCCCATTGGTTTGTGCCAACCTTATTGCATACAAGTTAACAGCAGCATGCGTACAATTGCTCGTGTTTTTTCTGTTGAGCAAATTACATTGCTCAAAAGTTAGAGTATAGGCAATTCTTCCGGAGAAGTTTAGCCAGGAGTGTGCAATTGAGCATCCTTTGGAGTATGAGTCGGACTATAGGTTAGTAAAAAAAAACTCTGTTGCCTCAACACCCACATGCAATGCTCAAATGGCCATATATTTATAACCGATCTGCCACAGGCTAATTTAGAGGCAATAGCGAGCCTAAGCCTAACCAGCGCTGTTCATCAGCTCATCATATTACTCAATGGCCTTTCAAAGAAGTGGTAGCTTGTTAGCCCTAGCCTTCGCCATCTGCATACTGATCCCATGCTGCTCCTCCAGTGAGTATAGTCGTACTTTGCTGTTTCGAACAGCCAGAAATTTCATAATCTCTGACATTTTCTTGGATACTGAAGGGAAAATGCCTGAAATATCCCAGGAAATCTGAAATAGGCTAAGTTTGGAACGTAACGTCTTCACTCCATATTGTATTTACTTGCAGGCAAAGAAGCCATGGAATTGTTCGAGAGAGCGTGCCATTGCTTCGATGACCCCAATGTAAGACATCAACACTAAATGTCAGTATAACATTGAATCTCTTTCAGCAAATGCGTGAGCATATATATGTACATGTATGGCACACACCAATGAGTGCCCAGATCTACAGCCAGTGCGCGGAGGAGTTCAGGCTGAACGTGGAGGGCGCGTTCCACGTGCAGAGGAACGAGGTCGACGAGTACTGCGGCGGGCCGTGCCTGGAGGAGACGCAGCTGGCGCTGCAGTGCGTGGAGGAGGTGTCCGCCGAGAGCTTCAAGTTCTCCAACGGCGCGTCGGTGCTGGCGGTGAAGCAGGCGCTCGGCGCGGGATGCAGCTACGGCCCCGACAGAGGTAAACACACTGTCATTCTGCTGCACTTGATGCATGCTTTGACCCCTTCGATTCCCCATGCATGCATATCTGACGACTGACCACGCTGTCTTCCGACGTGCGCAGCAACCTTTGAGATCAGGGAGCGCAAGGAATGCGTCGGCGGCGCCGACGAGTCCTACTACCACAAGTCTCGCGACCACGAGCAGGAGAAGCCAGTCGGCGGCCGGTACTACGGCGAGGGCAGCCAGCAGCCGTATGAGCAGGGCGCCGGATATGGCGAGGGCGAGGAGTACTGCTACGGCTACGGGGCCGCTGGCAGGCTAGGAGAGCGCCGCGGCTACCTGCAGATGATGATCCTGCTGCTCGTTGCCTCTGCACCACTTATCCTCACGCTCTAAAATTCAGTTTGTGCTACCAGGATGTTATAGACCCTTGTTTTATGCTCTATTCCTTCGTCCCCCCCCCCCCCCCCCTCTTCACTTGTCAGTCATTTTGCACGCAATGCCTACATTCTATAGCACAAACACCTCTTCTACAAATATATATGTTGCTAGTATATACTATATATCTAATAGTAAAGTATAATTGTACTTTCTTTAGTCCGCCAGTTAAGATCCATTATCCCTCACTCTTTTTAGAAAGGACGGTAACAGTTTTGCCGCGATTTCTATTAGACGAAGAAAGAAAAAATGCATGTGCCTGCCTAGTTTTTTTAATGGAAACTGGACCAAAAACCATACAACTGAGAAGAGTGTTCCACTCAACCTACACCACTTTGGTACAACAACTGGACTCACAACTCATGCCACAACTTCGTTCAACTTGGTCGAAACGACCTAACTAAAAACAACACAACTAAACAACTGACAAGTACAGAAGAAGAAAAACATGACTAGCTAAGCCACACCAAACAATAGGAAAGGAGCAACTGCGGAACTGAAAAGCCTAGCCATGCCTCCAAGGAGGAAATGACGCTAAAAGCGCCGACAAGGTAGCCCGCCATGGGAAGGTTTTCACCTGCAATATCCAGGACAGTAGGAGGAGAGGTAGGAAAGGACGCCTCCAAGAAGGGAATGACGTCCGTAAACGTCGTCGTCCAAGCTTTCGCCCCGATCTCAAGAAACCTCCAACACAGTCGCCGCAGGAGACCGAACCCAACCGGGGAGGTAGGGTGTAGTGATGGATCAGTAGCAGCTCCGCCCCTAGAGGGTCAGCCAAGAGAAGCACCGGGAGAAGCCCGCCGAGGAGTCCGCCCCCGCTGGAACCGGTAAAATTGGACAGAGGCGAGAAGATCCGGCCAGCTTCACCACAGAAGCCACAACCCGAGGAAGAGGGAAGGCAGATGGCAGGGAGAAAAGGGTCATGATCAGAAGAAGCCCCAGTCGCCCAGCCCACCAACATCTCGACCCCTGCCGAGCCGGCCCCACATCAACCATGCCACGCATAGCCTCCAGCAACCTCCGTCGGCCCCAAGCCGCCCACACCGTCATGCCACATAGCCACCGTCGTTGTCGCCGAACTGGGAGAGCCTGATGTGGCATGCTCGACCAACGCCTGCCTTGCCGCCATGGCATGGTAGACGCGACAAGCAGGATGCCACTATCCACGCCACCATGGTGCCGACGCCGCACAACCAGCGTAGCCGCCTACATCACCACGATGTCTGACGGCTCCAGGCCACACTACCACGCCACCAATCTGCATCAACGCAGCCCAGCCAACTGCCAGCCATCACCGAAGCCGGTGACAGCCAAACTCCGGCGTCGCATGCGACTACCACCGCAGTAGCGCTAGATCAGGCCCCGGGAAGGCCGGATCCGGCCACCGAGATGTCAGATCTGCTGCCCGAAACTGGATCCAGTAGAATCGTGGCCAAAGACGCAAATCCACAAGGAGGCAACCAATCCTCGCGAGGAGACGTCGGATCCGGTCGCTCCTCCGCCCGCAGCCCGGCCACGAATCCTCGCTGCCCACTGTGTAGGTGGCGACTGGCGAGGAGGGAGACCAGGGATGGCAGCGCACCCACGACGCACGAGAGACTACGAATCTTCCATCTCGAGCCGCGACCATGATCTGTGACCCAAAGCGTTGGAGCCCTGCCGCCGCCATCCTTGCCCCCAGCCGGACCTCCCATGCCTGCTCAAGCGGCGGCAGAGCGGACGACGCGGCTTGAGGTGCTCGGCGGCGGTGGCGCTGGGTGCCACCTGAGTCACCCTACGGAGGCGACACAGGGGCCTTTCCGCCGCATCGAGGAGCTTAGTATTGTGTCTCATTATCCCTCGCTCTCACTCCTCTCCTTTCGTCCTTTAGTTTGTCATCCCATGCTCCTAGCCTTCTCGCTTTGACAGGTGGCAAACATAGAACCACGACAGTAGTCCAAGGCCTAGGGTTCCGTGTTGGTCTATCGGTCCTCGCTCACGCCTATCTTCTTTGGTCCATCGATATATAGAGTGGGCATAATTAACCAAATGCGACTGAATATGATTTTTCATCTCTAATTCACTCTATAGGAGTAACTAACTAAATTAAGTCTGATTAATTGAATCGTCTCGCTCATTTACCCAAAATAATCAAATTTAGACCTAAACTTCCTTATGCTATTGCTAAAAATTATCATATGTTGAGTAAGGTAGCTCGATCTTATATTGTTTCATTTTGTGTTTTATGCAAATTTTGGACGGAGAAAGAACAAATTTTTGGACCGCTATAATTGTGTTTTATGCAATAGTGTTAGTAAGGAAATTAGCTTCCATCTGTTTTATGAATGTTCTTCTTGCAGCTCTTGTTGGAACTCCCTGTCAATCCATTGGGATTTGAGTCTTCAATCTCTGGACATGATGATAGAAGCGAGAACAACCTTTGGCAGTCTCATCTTGAGAGAAATTGTTATCATGGCTTGCTGGGCTATCTGGACAACTAGTAATGGAGTCATTTTTGACAATAAGAGCTACGAGCCTACTGAAAGCATCTAGGCCCCTAATTGGGTTTCGGTGATTAATGACAATGTTAGATTACTGTGACTAACGTGTGTTTTGCAGAGGCAATTAAGTTAGGTCACGGTAATGGAGATCGATTGGGCAATCATGGTTGTCATGCCCCTACGATGGAAATCGTTTCGGTTTTAAAAGGATGGATGACAAGGTTAAGGATGACTAGTTCTAAGTGTCGATTGGAGTTGAAGAGACACTAAGAGTAGTTTAGGACTTTGTTTTTCCTTTGGCCGTACTATTAAGGGGGGTATGGACGGGTAGCTTGACCTAGATGAGTCTAGTGAGTTAGGTGTGGTGCACACTTGTTTAAACTAGCGCTAGGTAGCTCCTACATATGCCTAAGATCCAATGGAGCAAACTTCATTCACGTATGATCGAGAGTTGGAAGTGAATGGAGGGTCAAATACTGACCGGACGCTGGCCGCAGGGTCCGGTCAGTTCATTTGACCAAGGAGATTGCGTCTGGTGCGACCGGACGCTGATAGGTAGCGTCCGGTCGACTCTAGTAAGGTTCCAGAAGAGTGAATCTACGACCGGACGCGTCCGGTCAGTGCTGACCGGACCCTGAGGATCCAGCGTCCGGTCGAGTACAGTAAGCATCCAGTGAGGGAAAAATGGGACCGGACGCGTCTGGTCAGTGGTGACCGGACCCTGCTAGTGTCCAGTCAACACGTAAACACTAGCGCACGGGTTGAACTGACCGGAGCGTCCGGTCACCCCGCAGAGGCACATAACGGTTCGTTTTTTAGCCCATGTTATAAATAGAAGCTCCACTCGTGTGTGGAGCAACTTAGAGAGTGCCAAGAAGAGCAAGGTCCTAGTGAGGTGATTGAGATTTGAGAATCCAAAGAGAGCCCTCATTAGTGAAGATCAAGAGTAGCAAAGTGTGCATCCACCCTTCTCCCTAGGCTTGTCGTGGTCAAGTGAGAGTTTGTGCTTGTTACTCTTGGTGATCGCCATCACCTAGATGGCTTGGTGGTGATTGGGAGCTTGGTGATCATCCGGAGAGCTTGTGGATGACCCAACTCAAGTTGTGAGTGGTTGTGGGTGATTCACCGCGATGGAGTGTCAAAGAATTAACCCGTAGAGAGCACTTGATCCTTGCGCGGATCAAGGGGGAGCTACACCCTTGCGTGGGTGCTCCAACGAGGACTAGTGGGGAGTGGCGACTCTCCGATACCTCGGCAAAACATCACCGCGCTTCCTCTCCTCTCTTTACTTTGAGTATTTACTTGGAGCATTTCAATTCTTATCATTTACATTCCTAGAATTGTCATGCTAGAGTAGAATTGGAACTAGGTTGCAAAACTTTTGTGCATTAGATCAATAGAAACACTTCTCTAGGCACAAGGGGTTAATTGGGCTAACCATAGGACTTGTTTATTGCGAAGAAATTTAGAATTAGCCCAATTCACCCCCTCTTGGGCATCTTGATCCTTTCAATTGGTATTAGAGCCTCGTGCTCATGTTTTTAAGCTTAATCGCTTAGAGCAAGATGTTTCACAGAGATGGACCTCCTCCTATCTTCGAGGGGGATGATTTTCCATATTGGAAAATTCGCATGGAGACGTATCTAGAAGCTCTAGACATTGGAATACTTAGAGCCGCCTCACATGGGTTCCCAAAACTTAGGAATCCCGCACAACTTCAAGGCGATGAAGTGAACTATGAAAAATGGAATGCAAAGGCTCGCAACACCATCTTTAGAGGCCTTTGCAAAGATGTGTTCAACCGTGTAAGGAACCACAAAGACACCCATGCACTATGGTCGGACGTTTGTGCGCTCCATGAGGGAACAAAGAGTGAGCGTGAGGAATGCTATCATCTTGTCATGAAAAAGCTTAACTCTTTTGAAATGCTTCCTAAAGAATGTGCTAATGAAATGTATTCATGTTTGAATGTTCTTGTAGAGGAAGTCAATAGGCTTGGACTTACTCAAATGTCACCGTCTGATGTTGTGAGAAAGATCTTGAGTGTCCTTCCCATTGACAAATATGGGCATATTGTCACCGTGCTGCATCAAGGTGATCTTTCCACCGCTACACCGACACAAATCTTGCGAAAGATCAATGCTCATGAGATGTACATGCACATCACACCTCAAGATGGCTCATCCTCTACTAAGAAGAAAGAAAAAGATTTAGCATTCAAAGCTAGTCAAGATATGGGCAAAGCAAGACTTGAGTATGAGAGTTCAAGTGATGAAGAAGATAAAGATGAAGATCTTGCTCTCATGGTGAAGAAAGCCGCCAAGATGCTAAAGAAGCTAAACAAGAGTGGCATCAAGTTCGATGGCAAAAAGAAGAAGTTCTTCACAAGCTCTAGGAGAAAGCCAATCTCTGAAATGGATTGCTTCAATTGTGGTGAACTTGGTCATCTAGCACACCAATGCACCAAGCCCAAGAAAG